CTAAACTAGTCGGACAGTGAAAAACGTTTTATTTTATATTTGAGATTATCCAAACTAAGAAATCAAAGATATATTTTTTTTTTTTTACCTTTTTCATTTTTAGCTGGAAAAGTTCTAGAAATGTACCAATGATTGGAAATCTTCCCCACTTGTTTTTAATCAAAACATAAATGTTATATATTCAATAGAATTTTTTTAAAGATATGCCCATATATATACTTTGAGTAAAATAAAATAAAAATCTCTGCAACTATGCAAATATATTAACACAAATTAATTTTAAATATTCAATATTATATTTGTTCGTTTCACAATAATTATGTTAATAAATAATTCCGCTATTTATTTATTTATTTTTTTGGTCCATTGCCTCTTTCCCAATCAAAATCGAAAGTTTGCGCCAATTAAATTAAATGTTTTAATTTTTGCTACAACACATTATATTTATTTAATTTTTTAATATTTCATATTATTATGAAATTTAATTACGTATTAGTTGAATTAATGGTAGTGTCAGAAAAGGCTGATAGAAGACACCATTTTGATGTAAACAACACTATATAGCCACGTGTGGTTCCCGCGCATGCGCCGTCCCCCACTAGTTCTACGTCTTGTTGAATATTTTCCTCTTCAGGTAATCTTGTCTTTTTTAGGCAGGTAAATTTTTTTCTATTTTGTTTTTTATACTCTAGTTAGTATTAAATTTTATATAGTATTGAATTACTAGCATTTTGTTATGCTACAGTTTAATTTTATGCTTGATGATATATCTTTACAAAATTATTACGTAATATTATGGGTGATAAATATTCAGGACGGAATCATTATAAAAAAAATTTATTTGTGCAAACGTTTCAATTCTAACATGTGGGTCATTATTATCAGGGATGAAAATTTTAAAATGTAATCAGAGATATATTATACGACCGATAATGGTAAATAATAAACTATAGTGATTGATGGTACACGAATCTTAACTATTATTACAATACACAATACTAGGCATGCAATATGTTATACAAAATAAAAAACTAATATTGTGTATTGCAATAATGGTTAAGATTCATTTACCATCAATCATTATTTACCATTATCGGTCGTATATTATATCTCTGATTGTATTTTAAAATTTTCAGCCCTGATGATGTCCCACATGTTTGGGTTGAAACGTCAGCACTAATAAAAATTTTTAATGCCTGCATCCTGAATATGTATCGCCCATGATATTTAGAACAGTCGACTACCTTCCTTCAATACTATATATTATTTCTAAAAGGTGTTTTTTTTTGTCGGTGCGCCATAACTTTGTCAATTCTTCATCAAATCCAATGATTGACCACTCATTTTGAAGATATTCTTCTCCTTCACATGCGAAAAATAGTCCTATCCCCCCGAAATTTCTGGGAAAAAAAGTTATGGAAGAAAAGAAACTTTATTTGCGAATAACTCAAAAAGTATGCATGTTTCTCTGGATTGGACCCATGATAATTAGAAAGATTACTAAATTACTTACCAAAAAAAAAATCGGACAATTATTAACAAAGGTACAGTCGATTAGTTTGGATATACTTAATAATGTCTTTCTGTTTAAAGATATTGCATTAAGGAGTAGAATAGTCTACTACATTTTTTTTTCTTGTTTGAAATATTAACTTTATTATTTATTAAAGACATTTGGTTGTTTCTACATTTTATTTATTTTTAATAATTTACAATATCTCATGATCGGAGCATTATTTTGTCTTTATTACTTTTAATATCTTTCCAGTTAGCGTTTAAAAATAGGTTCTAGCAAAGCAATATGTACAAATATTTTGGTCTATTATGTTTAATGGAATATTGTAATCGACCAAGAAAATATTAATTCCTTCCTTAAATAATGCATAGTAACTACTTATTTCCATATTGTTTAGTTATTTCTTCACTGAACAAATTTTTCGCACGGGCCTACTAGTTATGTAATATTATTTATCTTTCATATTGGGTTATTAGTTATTATTTTATGAAAATGTATATATAATATAAATATTACTATAGTATGAAGATGAATTAAGTTAAGTAATATCTTACCAACAAAATTTTAAAAAGATATACAAGCATTGTTAACTTAGGGTTTTAAAACTTTAGGTAATTCAAAAAGGGTAGGTAGTACGGATTATTTCGCAGGTAATAACCTATACTGACCAAAACGAGGGTTAAATATTTATTTTGTGGGCGCTCAGTAAAATGAAATTTTCTAAAAACAAATATACTTTTATTTATTAATCCGTACAGTTCAAATGCAGAAAATATTATATAAAATAAATATGTTTCATGATAAATAAATAGGGTTCATGCACCATCGACCTTGAAGAGCGGAGATGGGATCTCCTGTTCCTTCCTATCATGATTTTATTATACTTTTTAAACGAGATCCCTCATCCACCTTCTTTTGAACCTTCTAAGCGTATTTTCTGGCATGTTAATTGCATATCTTTTCTGAGTGTATTAGTGTGTCCATGTAAGTTATCGTGAAATCTTTTGTGACATAACATGGAGCTTTAGGCACCGTTATAAAATTTTACTGCATTTTTTTTTTAGCTATTATACATAATAAAACAGTATTTAATTTTATTTCAACTAATGCAGCACTTACTAGACAAACGCTCTAAGCTTTCAATCAATTACAAATGACTCATATATATGACAATAATAAGACCTATTTGGACTTACGATTGAGGCTCCACTAAACCATCGAATTCCTCTCGTATCCAATCCTTACAATCCAAAATCCTTCGTAAAATCATCAACGCTCCTTACTTTGTCACAAATAAAATCATCCACAAAGACCTTAATGTTCCATATGTTTCCGATTTGGCTCAATCCAGATACCTATCCTTCCATAACAAACTGCAGAACCGTCCGAATCCTCTCGTTTCAAACCTTGCTTCCTCCTCGATCTCTTGATAACCCTCCGAGGCGTCTGAAAAGAAAATGGCCTTGGGACCTTCTAATATAGAACTTTAATTTGAGTTCTGCCAATGGGTAGTTTCTCTTCATTTTGTACATGTCATATTACCAATGTCACATTTACTTATTGTATTTTCCATGTAATACAGTTGTAAATTTCAATCAAAAAAAATAAAAATTATTATCAGCAGTTATATTACGCGTGAGACCTGTAGGCGATAGGCTGCTAAAGGTGAGAGGTTTAGAGTTAGGTCCCACAGGTATAAGGCGCCAACCACCAGGGACAAGACAGCAATTAGTGAAATAGTCTGTTAGTGTGCTTGTGTAGTACTGTATTCACAACACAATACTGTCCTCTCTACTCCTTAACCTCTTTAAGGTATGCTTTTAGTCTTCCAAGTCCTTTGCCTCATTATCATCAACTATGCCTGATTTAAAGTACTTGAATTTTTTATTTATTATCTACGTTTTTGAAAATAAAGTTTGCGTAGAATATTCGGACCGAAGAAGGATGAGTTAACCGGAGAGTTCAGACGGTTACACAACGCCGAATTGCGTCAACTGTATCCAGGTAATATAATTGAGGTAATTTTATAGCGGCGAATCTAATGGACTAGTAAAATTGTTTGGCTTATTAATGAGAGAATTCCTAATAGGTTAATATTTGCTGTACCGAATGGTAAACGTCCGAGTGATAGACCGAAGCGAAGGTGGGAAGATCGCATTAAATGCGATCTGAAGGTACTGGGTTTGGACGTCGTACGGTGGAGGGAGGTGTGTAATAAGCGATTGTTGGTGTCGGCATCGAACCTTCGGGTTCGCTAAGCCTTTTATTATTATTATTATTACTATATTATCTGCTCTAATTATTGTCAGTAATAATTATAAAATTATAATGTATTGGGTTAACAACGGCTTTAATTATCTTTGCCAACATATAGATCCAAAACAAAGGTAATTGAAGAGTCACAAGCTTAGGTTGAAACGTTGACAACAATAAAAATCTTGAAAACGTCTTGATTATTTATTACACATTAATTTTTGTGGGTTTTGGTTTGCCGAAAAACCTGGTAACCCTTTTATACGGTTGCTCCTATCAAAATAAGTGACCTGAGTAAAAGTTGCTGGATCAATGGAATCAATTTAAAAAAAAAAAAATTAAAATAAAATAAAAATTATGGCCCATCCTGTACATCAAAATTAAAATCTGAATACAGAAATCGATTCCTCGTTAAAAAATAATGTTCATGTTTAACTTTTTTTTGTACGGCCAACAGACCGGCCATATAACTACAATGTCCAATAATTTGGTGTTTCGCCATAGTGTGCCGCGTTCCGCCATATCTCTCACTTTTTAATGAATGAATGAATATTTGTATTTATTTTCGAGGAATGCTTCTTACAAATAGAGTTGGCTGTAATGATGACAATGTACACTTTAATATGAAAAACATTTACAACTTATATACAAAGTAAAATTCATTAGGATTCAGTGACAACATCCTCTCTCCTGATAACAACCAAGCATCTGACCGTATGCCTAAATATAAACAATGAAATATAATATAATACCCCACATAATACAATAATTCAAAATAATACATCTGAATATAGCGAGTAATAAAATGACATAGTATTCAATATATAATATGTAAACATGTCAATAGTAAATAGCAAATGATATAATAAAACAAAATATGCGTATAAATATGTTTCATGCATAAACAATAAAAAGCAGAACAAAGTGAATTGACTATAAAGTTTTGGAAAAATATATTCATTTAAAATAAAGGACCTCAATCTGCAACATTGGAAGTATATAAATATTTGGTTTAAGTTTTTATTTTTTCATTTTTATATAGATTCATACAGTGCCTGATATAGTTTATATTATAGATCCTCATTTAGGAGATCGATCTTGTTATTATTAATCGATACTTGAGAAGAAGTCGAGTTTAGGTCCGACCCTCGATGGCAGCGGCGAGAGGCCCCAAAAGATTTATAGCCCCGAGAGGCTTGAGGTTTTTTTTTTTTTTTTTTCGTTTCTTTTTCTGTTGCCTATTAGCTTTTTGTTGCTGGAGGTTGTTAATGCCGTGTTGCGTGCCCCCGCCCTTCACTTCATCATCTTTTAGGGAAGCCTCTACCGCCCTCTGTAATTGCCTCTCTGGTCGAACCTGGGCAGATCGCAGCGGGGGGGAGGAGAGGGATAGGCGTTGGCAATAAGCGATCTCGCAGCGCGTGATTTATTCCCAGCTCCTCGCCCGTTTCGAGGAATCTATAACTACCTGGATTAGAACAAAACAAAAAAATAATAATAATTTAGAAAAAATATATAATGATACATTAACATATATATTACAGCGAATAATTATTTTTTCGGACAAGATACAAAAAGATAAGAGAATTGTGGAAGTTACATAATATTTAGAAAAAAAATTATAAGCGATTTGAATAAGCTAATTAAAATTATAAACAGTAACTACATTAAAATATACACAGAGTAACAAGATCCTAAACTGAATGAAATAGATGGTAACAATTGTTGTAGTGTAATATATAATATATACAAATGTGAAAATATTTCTACAGATGTACAGGAGAGATTGAAAGAAAAGAAAAAAATAAAAATAAATAAGTAAATAAAATTAGATAGACTTACAAGTGTGTTCAGCTAGGAGTTCTACTTAGAACTAGAAAACCAGGGTAAGGCAAGTATTGGGGAATTTCATGACTTGTTTGGGTAATGTGGAAAAACCTAGAAAATTACAGTATCTAAAATTTGAATATATGGATGGATACAAGGGAAAAAAAATACTATATCTATGATATTATAGATAATAGATAAGAGTATAATGTGAATAAAAACAAAAATGGAAGAAGTAAAACGTACATAGAAGTAAAATATAAATATATAAATAAGAGACCATACATTACAGAACTAACTTAAAACTATAGAGAGGGGAAAAAAAAATAATTATAATTATATTTGGTTGGACATATGTAAGAAAATTACATTTAAATATTAGTTAATATTGAAACATGATTAAAAAGTAAAATGAATACAAAGTGAAAACGGATGATCATACATTGATGTAGAATGTAAAAATAAAATAAAAAGGAGATCATATAAAGCGGAAATAATTAGAATAATGAACAATAAAATCGAAAGTAGATAAAAATAATACGATATAATATAAGTTATTTTCCACTATTTATGACCGCCACCCGGGACCATCTCCTTCCTTTCCAAATTATTATTATTATTACAAAAACCAACTTCTTATATTTTTAAGGAATTAAGATCAAGGTGTGACATCTATAGTCATATGAGGGGGCGGGGTGGCCGAATAGGCTAAAGCGTGTGCACAACACCGCTAGTTGCCTGGCAACCGGATAACAGAGATTTGAGATGACATAAAAAGTACGAGTTCGCGTCCCGGTGCCGGAGGGGTTTTTAAATTCCCCGCCCTCACCTCCCGGCCCGGGAAAATCCCGTATAGCCTAAAAGGCGAGGTAGGGAAGAACAAAAAAAAATCTATAGTCATATTAATTAAAAAAACTATAAACGAAGACGAATGATAAAGAGAAGAATAGTTGGGGTGATCAGTCAGAAATAAGAAGGCAAAAATAAATTATATTTATTTTGACATTTGCCGACGTTTCAACCTGCAGTTCAGGCCTTCATCAGGGCTGTCTCCAAAAGTGTTGATGGAGAAGTTTTCAAGTGTTCAAATTTCACTTCTCCATCAGAACTTTTGAAGCGCTGATGAAGGCCTGAACTTCAGGTCGAAACGTCGGCAAATGTCAAAATAAATATTATCATTTATTTTTGTCTTCTTATTTGACTGATCACCCCAACTATTCTTCTCTTCATTATTCACGACAGTCAACTATTTACCCACAATTATAAACGAAGACTTCTTAAGTGAGCACAATTAAGGATTAATAAAAAATATATTTGAGTTGAGGGATGGCTGTGCCTTTAGGATAACTATAGACTTGGCTGTAGTCGTTTCTGAGCGACCCCGGAATACCTTATGGATTTCTCAAATTGTTCTTCCGGGACGTGTAAGAAATTGAGGACGCTTCTTGACCTCGATGGTAGTCTTCACCTCTGGCCTCTCCATCATGAGATATCCCACCTTTCTCTATTTCCCTTCTACCATCTACTGTGGCCTATCTAGAAAACTTGCGACTTGGTACACCGAAAATATTTGTTAAAAAATGCCATCTTAAATTGACGGCTAACTGTTCGAAGACACTAACAGATATTTACTGTTGAGGTCCGTGTACGACTTCAAAGCCACGAACCCGCTTGGATAACGGTAAAGTTCATCAGGTTCTTCGGAGTACCTCAGGAGTTATTGTGTCATACCTGGAAGGGAGGTGAAGAACTTGTAGAAGTTAACTTATCAATTTATCCTAGTTTCGTAAGGTATTATATATTTAAAACAGTAAAAATATAATAAACGCATAAAATGATACACTATTATTTATTTTTTTCAATAGTTATATATTACCACTTTTGGGAATATTTTTTTTAAATGATTATTATTGAAATTTACAACTGTGTTAAATGATAAATACAACTAGCAAAATATGAAATAAGTAACATGATAAATACAACATGAAGAGAAATTACACATTGGTAGCACTCCAATTATATTTCTATATTAGAAGGTCCCGAGGCCATCTTCTTTTCAGACGCCTCGGTGGGTTATCAGGAATAGAAGAGGAAACAAGAGGATTTGGATGGTTCAGAAGTTTATTATGGAAGGATAGGTATCTGGATTGAGCTAAATCGGAAACATATGGTACATTAAGGGCGTCATGGATGATTTTATTTGTTTCAAAGTAGGGAGCGTTGAGGATTTTACGAAGGATTTTGGGTTGTAGGAATTGGATACGAGATGAATTCGATGGTTTAGTAGAGACCCAAAGCTCGATCCCGTATGTCGAAATAGGCCTTATTATAGTAATACATATGAGTATTTTGTAAATAGTTGGAAGTTTTGAGATTTTGTCTAGTAAGTGCTGTATTAGTCTATAACGACGGGCGGTTTCTAGTCTTTTAAGTCTGGTATGGGTGTAGGGAATAATTAAATACAAAAATAATTTTTCATTTTTTGTTTAAAAAATCTGATGCGTGCAACACACTTACTTTGAAATGAAATTATTTTCTGGCCATGTTGGGCTATTATAAAATAATTTGAATTGCATTTTAAATCTAGCTTAAAGCTTATAGTTCACAAATAATAAATACCATTAGTATAACAAAATCCCATTTATCAGAGCACTGGTTGATTATGGATTGTACGATTCGTAACGACATCGTACATAAGTTAACTTATTATTTTTCTTGGTCGATTACAATGTATCTTTGTTAGTAATTTTATTTCTCTACATATAACATACTTATGACAAATTTTATGAATGTTCAATCTCGAATCCTAGCCTAAGTTTGGTTCAATGGTGTCCAAGTCGAAATCGATTTATATATTTTCGGTACACCTCGAAATAAGACATAATTGTAAATTGATACGTGGAGGCGGAAACATGTTTGCCTTCGAGATATCGATGTTTATTTGCGATGGAAATAGCGCAGAGATCCGTCGGTTGCCTTCCCCTTATCTATACTGATAACGTCGCGTAAATATTGACAAAGATTTGTACGCCTCAAAATGGCGGGCTCTTCCTTAAGGCTACTGAACTTGCCAATGACCTCAAAAAAATTATATGTATATTTCAAAAGAATATATTTATTTGAGCATTACACATAGATTAATAAATAAATTCAATATTTATTTAATGTATCACGATCATTTCATTTCATTTTTTATACTCAAGATTTATCTTAAATAACAAAGATAAAGAGACTTATAAATTTGAAGAAGGAATTATTTAATATACTCGGGATTTTATCGTCACAATGAGACTGTTTGGAGCCTTACAAATAAGCCTTCGTAATATCTTAATTCGACAATTTCTCTTTACTCATGGAAAAAAAAATTAATAATAATATTAAAGCTACTTCAGAAGCAATAGATAAGAATTTTAAACCTTTGATAACGTAAATGTATACCTGAATAAAGGAAAACTCCTTAGAGATTTAAAAAATGTGTGAAATAATTAACCTTCTTTCCTCCTAAAAAATAGACATACATTTTTTTTCTGCCTTAAAGGTGCTTACAGCGCTATTCTAGCTTGAGTGGGTAGTTCAAAAGTCCTAAATGAAATAAATTTTAACTCACTCAGGCCGGATTCGAGTCAGTGGTGCTGTATTCGAGAATTGTTAAGCGGGAAACGCCATAAAAATACCATCATGCATTAATATACATTACATAAATTGAGGAAAATTCACTCATTAAATAAAACTAAATAAATAAATAGGAAACAGGAAATAAATTTTACTCGGTCTCCTTCAAATTTGAAATTTGAATCCTCAAACCAAACCTAATCCTTTCTAATATATAGTACAATACTTTTAAATCATTTTTGGACTATTTCGGATCTGTAAATTAAAGCTATTTATTGGTCAACAACCTATTTTGTTTTTAGAGTAATTTTTTTAAATTTATTTATTGAATTTTATTACTATCTGCCACACCTAAAGCCGGCAAAAATTAGTACCAAAGATGCATATAATAAATAAATAAAAGGAATAGAATAATTATGAACGTGAAAAAAACATATAAATAAAATAAAGTAAAAACAAAATATAAACATATAACATGGCAATGGCCAGCATCTGGCCAGATTCTGCACTCGAGTCATTAGTTTAATGACAGTGAAGTGGCTGAGGGAGAAGCGCAGGGATCTCCTGAAGCCTCTCTTTTTCTTCTATAAGTAGGGGGACAACACTGCCTCTGAATTCCCCTGCCTTTTAGTAAATATTATTAATAGATATGTCTGCGTCTAAGATGTTTATTTTATTTTTTAAAGAACGTTTTATTTTATTCATTTTTTTTTTCTTATTTTTATGTATATTATATTATATTATTATTAATTTATTTATTTATGATTCTGTAAATATGGTGTGAATGTGCCCTCTGAACACAATTATAAATGTCCTTAATTGAGACAAATTGTAATTTACATTGTAATTATAAATTATATGTTAAAAAAAAAAGTTTTAGCCCTAGGCTTGTATCGAACTAACGTTATAGTTTAATAAATATAATTTTACCGTTACTAAAAAGTTTTAAAAATAATACCAGGTAGCAATACACTATATTATCGAATATGTTAAACTTATCCTGATGAAGTACTCTAATGATTAGGTCGAAACGTAAGCAACAAACACTATCTTGACCTAAACACATGACGGAATCCCCATCACTTATTATATCATGTTTCGTGCATGACCACGTAATCGGTTCATGATTATGTAATCTCTTGATAATTTTCAATATCTTTTCCTAATATTTTGATTTTATTACTATCATTTTTACTTATCGTAGCAAAGATATATCCACCGAATTGGATTCCCACGAGGTTTCACCCAACCCTGAGATATGGTCATCAGCTGACTAGGCCGTAGTTCTGCTGAGTATGGGTTCGAGTACGTGAGAGGGAACTAATATTTCAGCAGTTACGTCACTCCAGGCGCCAGAAAAAACAACATAAGACAGCGGTGCTACACATCAGAAAGATACCGACAGATTGGTTCTTTTAATATGGACAAGTTACTAAACTCAGCGCTAATTTCGTCGAAGGAATAAATCAATTCATTTGGATCCACCGATGGACAACTGGATTCCAGTGAATAGCTATCTCTTCTGGAATAACAACACTGAGGTTATAATGAGGTTACAGATCTATTGACCCCAAAATTCAATCGATAAATAAAGGAACGCTGTGAATTTCATTTATGGATTCAACGATGAGTTTAGGAAAGGCTTGATAGATTTCCGATTCCTGTCAATGAGCTTAGTGCTTATTTTATGTACGTACGTACTTTGTGCTTTATATAGTTTTTTTTATTGGTATAAATGAAATCATCAATTCAATGGTACATATGAAAAAAAAACTATTTTTATATTTACATACACTTAACCATATATTGAGCGAGTGTACATATTTTATTTAAATAACATACATATGTGAAAAGTATTCCTCAAAAACAAAAAGACATTGAAATTTTATTCATTGCTGCGCATCTAGCAAATTTGATGTATCTAATGTTTAATTGATAAGAATTTGTTTTTATTTTGTTGTGTATAAAAAGATCTCTTGGATATTTTCTTTATTTCTATGTCGATCAGACAACAACGAGCAGGAAATAGAAAGAACTAATGGATTGAAGTGATTTTGAGTTGAAGAATGAAGTTTAGTGTATTTGTCTAGGATTTTTGACTTTACTGTTGAGATGTTTAAGTCGTTATCTATAGTATTGTTTAAAATCTTCAAAGGTGCGTTGACAATTTTCCGTGAATTTTTTTATAGTGTTTTTTGTATTTTGTTTATTATGTCCAAATTGGTCTCAGTATAATGTTGTAGATCAGTCGCTTGTTACGTAAGTTAAGTGAGAATTTGTCATCCAGAAGATGTCAGAGTTATATCGTCTAGGCAATTCCTGTCTTTTTAATTTAGTATCTAATTGAGTTAACATTTTTTAAAAATATTTTTTTCGAAAACGCCTCATAACTATTTTGATTGAACTCGTCAAATCGATTTAAAATTATAGGCTATTTAACATGAGGTCTTATTCTTATTTTAATAGCATGACAGGTCTTAAATACCAAATTTTCAAAACGTCTTCCTCTAAAATACCTATAACTTTATTTATTAGAATTAATTAAAGGTATCCCATTGTTAAAAATAATACAAAATTGATAGATATGAACAATTTAAGAAATTGATAATTAACTGAGAGAAGAAATAGTTTAATCATAATTATTTTCGTAGGGCGAAAACGAATATGTTGTGAACGTAATCAGGAAACAATAAGTTCAAAGCATACAGTTTTTTTTAAAAAAATCTTTGTATAAATGCTTAAATATAAATATATATTAATTACAGTCTATTTTCTTTTAAAAATATAAGAACAAGGTTATTCTATCTAGAACTAGAAGATTGCTGGAACAAAAGATAAAATAAATTTGGTTGCGTGGATAGAAAGGAGAGA